TTTTTAGATTATTACCTATTCAAGTGGAAGTTACACCCAACCTACAATGCAGCAATTTTATTTCTAGGTAAACATCAGACATAAATGTACAGACACATGCCATCAGGAGATGGGTTACAAGGCTCAAGTACCATTTTTTGTAACAGGTCCACAAATGAAAATCTCTATTCTCAAAAGAAAGGATAAAAATTGTGATATATTTATTGAACGAAACCACTTCAGGAAAAAGGAATGCTTTACATTTGTATACAACATATAGACAATCTTAAATCAAAAAAATCTGCTAAAAAGATGGTTAAACAATTCCATTTATATGGAGTTCAAAATTTTAAGTATTAAAATTAAACTATAGTATTTTTAGATCCATGTCTATTTAAAGTTTTTTGGGGGTTCTTTGGGTGCAGGTTCTCACTACGCAGCTCAGACTCACAGCAATCCTCCTAATTTCTGCTGTCCAATGCTGGAATTACAGGCGTGTGCCACCATGCCTGGACTCTCTCTGGTCAGCATGCCCAGGGGTGGGGCTGGCACGGCATTTGGTGCCAGGGATCAAACTCTGGCCCCTGCACTTACCTAAGCAAGCGCTTAGTCCACTGAGCTATATTGTGGGCCCTGATCCATGTTTATTTACAAATCTGTGGAAATCTACTACAAAAGTCAAGATTAGTAGCTGCAGAGGAGGGCACTAAAGCAAGCTTTGTAAGGTGCTGGTAGTGACTGCTGAGTGCCTATTACATAACGAATCTTCACTTTTGAGTATGTCGTTTTTACTTCCCATGTTAGATTTAATAATCAAAAGGTATTTGAATCTTGAGAACTTGTTTGGCGGTCCTAGCAGGGGAGTGCAGCTACTTTTATACCCTTGACCAAGGAAATAGCCCTCCTCTATCGGGGGTGTCTGTCCCTTCAACCTAGTGCAGTTTTGGGAGGGAGTACACAGAGGGCTGAGGGAGGAAAGGAACAGCGCCGAGCCAGCCAGACCAGCCAAACCAACCCTGGCAATCAATGGAGTGACAGATGGTGTAGGGAGATCAGCCTCACATCCTCAAAAGGTACCTGAAACCACAAAACCCACAAACTTTGAAAATCTTTAGAAAATAATCTGAGAGATGAGGAAGTTGTACTTCTCATGTAATCCCCACCTTCTTAGATATAAAACAAAAATCTCTTCATTGTTGAACAAATTTTAATGTGACAAGTTTCACTATTCATGAACTGCTGCTACATAAACATATAAATAAAATCACCAAGACATTTTAAGTCAGACTGGATGTGCAAGCAAGAGAGGGAACTTGATATTTTTCCTGCTCCCATCTTAGCAATTAAAAGACGGTTAGTTTGCATTTGGAGAAAGGTAGCCAGCTCTCTGTGGTCATGGCAGCCAACAGCACCACCTCCAGACTTCTTCCTTACCCTGAGGACAACACATGCTCACAGCTAAGGACACCCGTTTCTTCCCTACAGGACTCCAGCAATCTGGTGGCTTTCCTTCATGTTACTCTGTCCCTTTCAGTCCAAGTTGGCAGAGCTTGCGCTGAGACGGATGACTGGGCTATCATACACCTCATTTCTGCAGTGCTGCCTGGCATACTGCTAGCCCTGCCTCCTCAGCATGCCAGCCAGACAGGCCAAGAGGTTTTTCTTTTTCTTTCTTTTTTGAATGGATTGATTGTTACAGGGTCTTACTATGCAGTTTGAACTCACAGTGATCCTCCTGTTGTCAGCCTCCCCAGTGCCCGGACTCTGTGGCTGGCTCAGCCCACCCTGGGGGCGGGGCCGGTGCAGCATGTGGTGCCAGGGATCCAACCAAGTCCCCGTCTTGCCCAAGCTTGCCTAAGTGGGTGCTTTAGTCCATGGAGGTATCTCACCAGCCCCAAGGCCAAGAGGTTTTCAATTTTTTTTTTTTTTTTTTTGCAGAACCAGGGATTGAACTCAGGCCCTTGCGCTTGCCAGTCAAGCGTTTATTCTACTGAGCTATCTCCCCGGCCCCCCAAGAGGTTTTCAAACTCAAATGCCATTGCTATTCTCTTAGCAATTCCTTTCTCAACTTTTTATTTCTCTCATTTTATTAGAAGAACCAAAGAAAAAAATCAAGATGTACCTTTCGTACTTTGCTTGGAAATTTCCTCAGCTAAGTATCAAGTTCACTGTTCATAAACAGTAAGTGTCCTCCTAATGGTACAGCATAATTCTGCCAAGTTCTGTCACTGTACATAAGGATCACTTTTCCTCAGTGCCCAATAAGTGTTCTCGTGTCTGGGACTTCCCCAAAATTGCCACTAGCATTTATACTACAGCAAAACCCCAACCCTAATGTTCTATGTATTCTCTGAAAGAGCTAATGCTGTCCCTACAGCTTTCCTCTCTTCTTTCTGCTCACTCACTACAGCCACCCTTAATGTTCTCAGTTCTTTCAGGTCTCTTCAAGGCAATGGAAGTTTTTCCCATTAAGCACCTTGAAACTTTCTAGTCTAACCATTATCCAATTCCAAAATAAATTTTTGTTCCAGCTGCAGCCCACTTTCCAGTACTAATTAGACTTCAATGGCTATATAACAGTGCCAGAATCCAGGAAATTCAATATAACCGGCATTTATTTTTTCATATTTCTACAAGCCAAAACAATGTGGTAGGAGGCCATGCTCTTTCTCAAGAGTCCAGGGAAGGGTTGGTCCTTCCTTAGACCTTCCTGCCTTCGATAGCAGGTAATAATCCGTGGCTTTCCTTGGCTTGTATGCGCATCACTCTGATCTCTGCCTCCATAACACAATGCTTCTTCCCTCTCTACAGCATAGTGTTATCTCTGTGGATCTGTGCCCAGTGAATTAAAAGCTACTTTAACGCAACAGTCTCATCCTAACTTGATTACATGTGCACAGACATCGCTTCTAAATGAGGTCATATGCATCAGTATCAGCCTGAGTCATACCTCTTTTCTTTGGGGTGGGGCTTGAGGGAGGAGGTGATTCTACTCTGTACATGATAAAATTCTAAAAATAATCAGAAGTTTCTGGAAAAAGACAAAATGATCCATAACAGCAATTTCTGTGATCTGGAAAGCTCCTGGTCTTGAGAATGTCTCCTGATGATGTTAGTAGTTTGTGCTAGGCATACCTCCAAAGATTCATGCAGTTATGGGGCGGACTTCTAGACTTCATGATTAATTCATGATCTAGTGCTGGGACTATGGGTGTGAGTGCTGCTGGGATTATGGGTGTGAGTGCTATACCCAGCCTGCGGCGATTAGCCTGAATGCAACATAAGAGACAGACTTGCTCTCTGTACCTTTTGTTGCCACTACTCCCCCCATTTGCTTTGTTCTTTTGTTGTATTCCACCGCCATGAACTACTGCCCTCTGCCATGTGCTACTCTGCCTTGGAGCCAGCTGAGTATGGCCTGAAACCTCCACTAACCGGGCTAAATAAACTGTTTCCTTCCTTAATTTTGAGTGTTGGGTATTTTGTTCCAGCAACAAGAGAAAAGTAACCGAGAGAGCAGTTTAACTCACTTAACCTTGGACGTAACTTCAACCTTAATCATGTCCTAAACATAGTACCTTTCAGAATAAACACACATGCATGAATTTCTAACCTTCAGCACTTCAGTAGCCTTGCGAAGTTCCTTAATGACGGACGATAAAGCTTCTGGGTTAATGCCTTGTTCACAAAGTCGTACACAAATGGACAGAGTTTCCATATCTAAGCCCGTATTCAAAATTTTTGAAATCTCAAGCAGAACTGAAAAAAAGATATTAAAAAGGTTTAAAAAGCTTACAACATTCAAGAATACACACAACTTGTTTTCAATTCATATGTTCCTGCAAAATATCAAGAAACCTGCACAGCATCTCAGGATCTGGACATTAGGCACGCTGCCTTGGAATGTGTCTTAAGTTTTAGAAACTGGAAAATGAACCTACCACCTCCCATCACATAATCACCTTTTATTCCTTAGGGCATCATCTACCATTCAGTATCAGAATTATTCTGAATACTTATTTTCTAACTCTTTCATAAAGATCTCATTAGTTGTACAACATTCTAGTTCATGCAGACACCATACTTTAAGGGTTAGGTTGCTGTGTTTCCCCCATTAAAATAGTATTTTGATAAGCACCTACCTGTACATGCTAGCTTAATTTTATTTCATTAGGATACATATCTAGAAGTGGGACAGCTCAGTCAGGAATATATTTAAGGACTGTAAAGTCTTTACAAACAGAATAATATTGTTGAATCTGATAAGATATGAAATCCAGTACTTTTTAACTTACAGTACTGTATGTTATTGTAGTTTATAAAAATATCTATCTTTGACACAAGAAGTGCTAGCATAGAAGAGAATTTAGGTTATCCAAATGATTTTCCAAGAATCTGCTATTACCCAATGCAATACAATAATTCTGTTAAACTTTAATTCCGGTTGTTCCCCAGTGTGCTCAGAGCTTTTAGTCAATTGTCGGTATTTTATTCGTTGTTTCCTGTATCATTTTATCTTGCATGTTTACTGTCATTCCCATGTAAACATCATACTCACCAGCAATCTTTCCTGGCTGGGGAAGTTTACTTCCCCCCTTTCCCCCACAAGTCCTTGACTCTATGTAAAAGGTTTAACTTCTCCTTTTCCTCCCACAATAAGTCATTTAAGCACAATTTATTGAAGGACTTACCCTTTATTCCTCAACCAAAATGTCACACAACTAAATACCCATACAGTTCTGTTGCATGTTTTTCTTGTGACAGAGCCATATTTTAAATTAAAATTTAATTATATGTAATAGATTCTTCTCATCTTTCATGTTACAAGCCCTCTTATTCTTTGGGTACACTTAAGACTGTTTAAAAAAAAAAAACAGTTCAAATAGTATATTTCACTGGGATTATGTGAATTTCATGAAAATACATATTTGGGAAGAATGGACAAGTTACCAATACCACAGAATTCATGATGGTCATGAATTAGGCCCATTTCAATTTAAAAAAAAAATCAAATACTTTTCATTTCTAGAAATTTTGAGTTGTGTCTCCCATGTCCCCATTAAACTTTTGAATAGGGTACAGTTCTACCGCACTCATCTGATTCTAATATCTGACATTTCTATGTTGATTCATTGCATTTTCCTATCAATGGCCCTTTTTTCCTAGTTTATGTATCCTGTAACCCTCAAAAACGCCAAACATTGACAATTTTACTTTGTTGGGCTAATACATTTTGTATTTCTGAAAACATTTCTGAGTCTTGTAGGGGCATAGTTGTATGGCAACTGTGTGATCCTTCCAGGTCTTGTCAAACTTTTTTGGCAGAACCAGAGATGCTGCTCAGTATAGGGCTGATTATTCTCCGTTCCAGAGGCAAGAGGCTTCCAAGAGCCATACTCCAGTGTTTCAGTAACTGTCTTCTATTCTCTGGGGCAAAATGCCAAAATCCTATGCCATGAGTGGGCATGGTAAACTAGTCTTCCCCTAACCTTTGAGTGGGTCTGCTCAATGCTCAAGGAGGATTCTCCAGAATTTAGTCTGTTCAAGTTCTGTTCTCCCTTAGGAACTCTCTAAACACAGTGGTCTGGTGCAACAGAGGGACTCCCTTTTCTCCTGTCACTGAGATCACTGTCCTTCCATGCCAACCATCCAACGTCCAGAAAATCTCTACAATGTGTATTTAACCTGGGTTTTGTTTTTACAGAGAGGGGTGTAAACCTGGCCCCTGGTTCTGTGTGTTGGATGGAAAGTGAGAGCCCATCTCATCCCATTTTCATTTCTTTAGTTGGATAGTCCAATTTGCTAATCCTTTGCTCTTTGGTTGTATCCACCTAGTTCATGTTATTTGCCAAATTCTGAGATTTCAATTTCTCCTATAATCATCTGATCTTGTTTCATTAACCAAATGCCTATTTATACCCATTTCTTATTTGTTGGCTGTTATTCCTGCCTTCACCTATGAAAGACTGTATTCTTAATGCTGATTTTGAGGTTAATCTCATATTTATTTCTTGAAGTTTAAATAAGCAGCAACAGAGTGGTTAGCAGTCAAGAGTCAGGTTATCCAGGGTTCAAATTCTAGCTTTATTACTGGGCAAATTAATCCCTGTGTCTTTCTTTCACCATTCTTAAAAGATAGTGCTTATTTCTAGGATTAGCATAAGGAATAAAGGACACTCTTAGGATGGTGTTTGGCAAATGGCAGGGCTCAATACAAGGTTTAACTGTTACTATACTAAGTTGTCTCCTTTTCCATTTTAGTTATCCATGTTTTCATCACTTTAGTGCTTTGTGATTCTTTTATGCTGTTTCTCTTAGATGCCCTGGGTTGTCCACATGCTCGTGGTTATGGAGTCTCACCCTGGCCTCAGCCCTCTGGAGCAGATCCTACAGAAGTCTCCGGGCTCCAGACCCAGAAGACAGGGATGGTGCTTCTCAGTGTCTGGCAGTGGCAGATGGCACCTTTGTGACCCCAAGGTTCATGTAGACATGGCAGCATGCATCCTCAGGTTCTATTCCCAGTCCCTGCTGTGGGCCCATCTGCTCCTTTCTTTGGAGAGTAGCCTCTCTTTTAATCAATGGAGACCTCCTTTTCTTGTTTTTGAACATGGTTAGTCTCATGATTACATTTTTTTCTTATTTCCTATCATTTTTACATGCTTGCAGTAGAAAGAGAGCAAGTTTTCAACTGACGATACTGACTCTTCACTTTCTGTAACTCGTATTTTTGACTATTTTCATAAATGGATTCTGTTTCATCTTTGTATATTTGAATGGCTACTCTTGGTAGATTGGATATCATATATTTAATTTTATAGCCATTTGTCATAACTAATTCTGGTTACATTTAACAATTTTTCAATGGTTCTCTTATACTTTGTAGTCAGATAATCTTTGAATTTTTAAGTTGTCTCCTTTAAAAACAAATTGAGAATATAATGTTTAATGAAATAAACCATAAACAAGTTTAAAAAACATGTGGTTTCTCTTATACAAGAAACTCAAATTATAAATAGAGAACAAAATAAGAAATAGATACTATGAAGTGGGAAGACAGAGCTTTCTGAAATGGGAAAGGGGTCAGGAGATAGAGGGAAAGGGAAAGGGGATAAAAAAGGAATAAAGATGTCTTATGTGCATGTACTAATTCCACACAAACAATGTGAACATTGTGTACTGCATACATGTACTAACAAAAAAAAAAATAAGTCTTTTCTTATCCTATGCTATTTGGCAAATTCTTAAAATCAGAATGGTATTTTAAAAAATCAGCTGAAGTGGTTGTTCCTAATCCTATTTGGAACATATTTAACTACACTAAAAATGATGTTGGCTCCATACGGTTATCTTTAATTAAAAGCACACTTAAAATGTACTATTTTCTTTTGTTAAGAGTTTAACAAAAGAGAAAAAAACGTTAAGTCTTACAGTTTTCATCAATCACTGAAATAAGCAGCTCTTCCCCTTTGACCTAGTGTGGTTAATAAATTATGTAGACTTCCTAACTGCAGCAGGAGAACACTGCGCTTGGGAGAGCCTTGTTTTTCATTGGGCTAGCTTCATTTTATCCATCCCACCGCTGCTCCCTATAAACACACACTCCTGATACAGCCCCAGGAAGCAGCATTGCATTAACAACCCTGCATTCATGGCTTTCTTAACCCTGGCCCCCTCAGTCTCCTGCAGTGACACCGCACTGAGCTCCGGAGCAATGGTGCTCCTCAGGCTCTCTTGAAACTCCCTAGGAGCCCAGCCACTATGTGGTATGTGAGGAAACCCTACAATCACACAACAGTCATCCAGTGGGCCCAGCTGACAGCAGCAGAACCTAGCTATGTGAAGAGGCTCTGCGACAGCTCCAGGCAAAGTCACCGTCCACCTGGAATGTGAGAGTGCTGTGAATACCTAAAACTGTGAGGAGACGTCATACCTATTTATGTCACTAAATTTGGAATAGGCACTTAGGAATGCCTAAATTTGCTGACAGGCAGCAACAGTTAGACCCATCACCACTAATTTGATAACAAATTCGACCTCTGTCCCCAGTCTGTGCTTTTCATGGTAGACCCCTACCTAAAAATACTGAGCTCCCTCTTTTCTTTCTTTTTTCATGGTACCCCACATTAAGTCCAAGACCTTCACACTGAGCTACATTCCCAGCCCTTCTATTATTATTGTTGCAGTACTCCACTTCGAAAAATTTTTTGAGACTGTATCTCAGAAAGTTGCTAAACTGCTCAAACTGGGTTCAAACTTATGATCCTCCTGTTTCAGCTTCCCAGGGTACTGGGATTAGAGGCATGCGTTACCTCATCTGGCTTATTCTTGCCTTCACACTTTTGTTCATGCTTTTGTCTTCTGCCCTTTCCTTTCAGCAGTATAATTCCATGCTGCCTTTCAGATCTGTCTCAGTTCTAAACAACACATTGAGCTTTACTTCTTATCTTTACATACGATAATCAATAACTATTTCCGCAAAGCCTATTGTCTAACAGGTACTTATATGCATTTCGTACATATTATGCTGCTGCTGGGAACATAACTGTGGACAAGACAGATAAATTCCCAATTTTCAGACATACAGTCTAGGTAAGCAATATTAAAGTAACTGTTTGCTATGGTTTAAAGGTGTGCAATAAGGTTCTTGTGCCAGAAATTTCACACCCAATGCAATGGTCTTGAGAAGTGGGACACTTCACAGGTGATCAGGCCAGGAGGGCTCTGCCTTAAGGAGTGGATTAGTACCATTATCTTGGGAGAGGTCAGTGGTTTCCTGACACAAGAATGGATTTGGTGCCTTTCCACTCCCTTCCTTAAACACAGGGATGGTTCCCTTCACCTTCCTCCAGGAGATAATGCACCAAGCAGCCTTGGCAATTACAGGAGTCTCAACTTTGGATGATGAAAATGGAATCTATTTTTCATAAATTGCTCACTATCATATATTCAGTTATAGTAGCACAAAGCTGACTGAGATTGATCCCAGTTCTAAGTAAAAGAAAAGAAAAGAACACAGTATACTTTTGAAACAAATTAGAATGGCATCTTACCAAGGTTGGAAAGATAGCTTGAACACTTTGAGCAGGAATCAACCAGAAGCAAGAGGAAGAGCAACCTGTTTATGTCACCAAATTTGGAATGGCCAGTTAGGCAGTGATCACAAACATAGGTTATGCAATGGTTCATAGACTGGAGGAAACTTGGTAAGTTCACAGACCTGAACAGCTAATATGAAAGAAATATTATCAAGGGAATGAGAGGACATAAAACAATAGGTTTGGGAAATCCATATGTCCTACTAAAGATTTAAGACTTTGGGAAGATTCGGAAGATATAATATCAGAGTCTAAAAAGTTCAGGCTTGCATTTTAAAGAGACTACACTCCTTTAGAATATTTTGCTGAGTTTACACACCTATAATATTCAATAACGGAACTTAGGAAAAATGGGGTATACTGATGAATGTCCATTTTCTATCTGTGTATTCAAAGTGGTTAGGATAGATATATAGTTGCATTCTCTTAATGAATAGAATGATTTGTTCTAATGGTGTTTGTAAATAGGTTCCAAAGTCGCATCTTGTACAGCAATTAACCACTAAGAAGAATATATGCAGTGTATTATTTGTTGAAACTGTACTTCCGATTTGATTTGAAACTGTCTCATTGCTGTTTATCAATAAAACTTTGAAAAAAAATAAAGAGACTACAGGTTATGGAATGAATTTTGAAAAAGAGTGGAGCATGTGTCAAACGGTGCTCAGTTATTGCATTTTTGGTGAAAGACCAAGAAATGGCATGGACAGATGAAAAAAATAAATCTGAGATGACTGAAGAACTGAAAAGGCTTAGTGAAGAAATGGGTATGGTGGAGATGTGAGAAAACCAGACTGAGTTCCGTTTCACTGGAACTGCCCTACAATTGCCCCTCAGCTCTCAACTCTTCTGTACCATGCACGTATAAGTTTACATCTGACACATAAAGTAACACTACACTGGTGCCTCTAAAAAGTAGTATGTAGTTAGCAAAAATATACAGGTAATAAACCTAAAATTAGAGGAATTGTATTACTAAAATTAGATGAATTAAATCATAAGGAAATTTCTACAGTAAAAATAAAAATTAAAGTATACAGCTAGCAACAGATGCTGAAAAGCAAGAGGCAATGAGGTACATTAGAGGAAAAAAGAACTGAAAAGGCCTAAGAGCAAATGTTGGAAGACAACATTGAGGCTCCAAGGATAAAAGCAGAGGATCTTATGCAACAGATCTTATATTACACCAGGGCTGGGACACATAAGGTTCTTTCAGAGTAAGTATGCAGCTGATATGACAAAGCTTTACCTCCCTCCTTCCATCTGTGAAGTATCTATAAAAAAAAAAAAAAAAAGCCTTTCATTTCATAACTAAAATAAAAATATTTTACAACTCTGGTCTGCAACTGTTCCAAACCACTGGCACCCACAGATGTTTAAATCACTGGCAGCTAGTACTGATAGAAGGGAAGGAAACTAGGTAGACCCAAGCTTCCCCCGAGAAGAGAGAAGAGACTCAGTAACTGGTCATGACTCAAAAACTGGTCATGTTGACTGTCATAGACTGATTTAAGTACAATAAAAATCCACATTATCCTCCTTCAATTAAAAAGTCTGGTCTTCCATTTTTCATGTTTTTTTACTCTATATTCACACCAGTTCTGTCAGAAAATATCTTGATAATGCCACCAATGAAAACTTTTAGATCTCATGTATCTATGAGAAGCTTCACCAGACATATGATTGAAATTTTCAGGCCGGCCACATAGCTCAGCGGATTAAAGCGCCTGGAAGCAGGCGCAGGGGCTGGGAGTTTGATCCCTGGGCTGGTGGTGCCAGGCCTGCCCTAACCCAGGGGCACACTGAGACAGCAATTGAGACTGGGTGTGATGACGATTGAGAGCAACTGGGGCAGCTCATGGGAGGCTGTAAATAGGGGGATCACTACCAGTCCGATCTAGTAGAGACCTTGAACACCCTGTAGACACCTCCCTTATTCCTAGGCAAAATGACACTGAAAAAAGTCAACAGATGGCCCAAGATCTCTCCTGAAGCAATCATAGATTTTATTGATGCTAATGAAAAGAAAAAAAAAAAAAAAAAGAATAAGAAATTTTCTACTGAAACAAGTAATCTGCAGTGCTTGGGAAGATGGGGCAGGAAGAATGGTAGTCCAAGCCTAGCCTTGCCAACATAGTGAGACCCTGTCTTGATGCGCCATACTATGAATCCTATTTAAAAAGGTACAATAGATTATATGGATACCCATTCTTTGTGTGCACAAAAGTAAAACAAGCCCTGAGATATCGTGAAGCACGAAGAAACAGGCTAGATGCTATCTTGCGAACAGCAAAGTAGATACTGATTCCGTACGCAGTTGAAAGGCAAAAGCTCAAACACCATATGTAATTCTGGAAAAGAGAGCGGCAGCAAGTAGAGTCCAGAAGACTTATCAGAAGCTCCCATCTACAGGGGTGTGGGCAGCAGGATGACATTGCTTAGTGAGAATTCCACAGGACTCTCTTTTGAGATAGACGCTGATAAGGGAACCCCTTGGTAAATGTCATCGTGAACAATAAACGACAATATTGAACATCTCTCAAACTTACAAAGTCAAATGGACACAAGGATGCGTGTCCGCAAGTGGGAGGGCAAATGATGCAAAACAAAACCCAAATGATTGCGTACGCATACTTTTACCTGATTGTCTTAATTAAGTTTTCACAACATGCCTAAGAGATGAGGTTTTATATAATGGGGGTAAGGGTAACATCATAGATGCTAATCTGCTGGTCCGAGCTCACACCATGGATGAAGAAGCAGAACTGGCGTTACAAAGCAGAGTTAAGATGACCCCTACATACTGGTCTACCTTTGTCGGGGCGCGAAATCAGACACCCCTAAAAACCCGGGCACTGGCGCCACCAGGTTCAAAAGAAACGGGGACAACTGTGACTACGAGTGCTCAGCTCACCCTCCAGACACTCAAACCCCACCAGCTGAGGAGCCCGGCCCGGAGCCGGCGGTGACCGTGACTCAGCACACGCTAGCCCCGTCCGCCCGGGCTTGGTCCCGCGAGCTCGTGAGGGGTGGCGACCGCGACGAGGCGCGGGGCAGCGCGCAACGAACGGACAACGACCGCGGGGGCGAAGGGAAACTGGAGACGCGGCCGCCCGCTCGGCTGCCCCTGCCCAGGCGACGCGGAGATGCTGCTCAGGACGGGAAGGGGGCGGCGGGCGCTTCGGGGACTCCCGGCTCCGGGACGCGGGCGCGGCGGGCACTCACCGTCCATGGTCTCCCTCACCGCGCTGAGGTTGGCCGCCGCCGCCGCCGTCCCCGCCGCCCCGCCGCCGCTGCCGCTCGCCATGGCGAGGCCGAGAGGCGGGAGCCGGGCCTGACCCGGAACTGGAGCGCCTTCCTCTCCCGGGCAACGCCGCCGCGCGTCCCGGCTCACGCCGCCAGGCTCCGCCCCTCGCGCTCGCCGCCGGCGTGCGGTTGCGTGGATTTGAATTTGGAGCCTCGCTCCGCTGCGCGGAACGTAGAGCGAGGAGTTGCCATTCGAATTTGCGCCGCCGCCGCCATGCGATTGGCCGGTTCGCGGACAGCCGCGCGACGCGATTGGCCAGTCGTCCGGCGGCCCGGGTTCCTGGTTGGTCTGAGGCAGCTGCGGAAGCGGGAGTTAAAGAGTCTGGCCCAGTGGTGAGAGCTGGCCGGGCCCCCCGGGAGCGCCCCGGATTCGAAGCTGAGGGCCTCCTTTAAACACACACCTGTAGGTACGTTCTTTGTAGTTCCCGGCCTGTCTTCCAGCCTAGAATTGGAGAGCGCGGCTTCCCCAGCTCCAGACTTGCCTGCCCACTCGCTCCGGGTGAATAGGAGCAGCGAGGGGACAGATGTGGAGGAGAGGGGAACCCAGAAGTGATCGCTCAGGGCTGGGGTGACAGCCCCTGTGTCGTTCACCCCGAAAGCCAGTTGAACTTCATTCTCTCGAAATGGATCTTCCGGTCTGGTTGTCTGGCTGTGCCGCCGCGGTAGTCGGGCAGCCCGTCTTTCGGTCCCGGGGAGCTGGCGGAAGGCGGTGTGCGAGAGAGGCGGGGGCAGTTAACTCCGGACCCCGTCGGTCACTCATTGCCCAGCGAGGGCCACCGTGCAGAAACCGGGCACAGCTTCTCGGTCTCTTAACTTGCTGCTGCAGGGGATTGTCTCGTAACAGTTGGAGCTTGGTAGAGAATTCCTAGAGTATGCGAAAGATGCTTGTAGTGTTGAGATAATGAATGAAAAACCACAGAGGTAAATCCTTCCGTTGGAAAGGGACGTGTGCCCACTGACGTTTAGTTGTCTCCGAGGAGGGCCTGACCGCACTCATATTGGGTTGATGGCTATTTATAAACCACTTCATCGCTTTGAGTTTGTTAAATGATAGTACTAATAGCTTACCTCTAGCTTTCAAGGTTATTTCGAGGATTACTTGCAAAGACGTGTATGAACTATAAAAATAGCTCAAGAACATTGGATTTTGAGTTAATTTTTTGTGAAATATGTGTTTTGTTGACTGCATTTAAATTTCCAGAATTAATAGCTGCAGTACTTTGTAATTCTAACGTATGCACTTCTGATTTCTTTTTAGTTTACTTTCTGTGCTATGGGAGATGTCAAAGAATTAAAAATGCAGATAACACCGGAAACTCCAGGACGAATCCCTGTTTTAAATCCTTTTGAAAGCCCAAGTGATTACTCTAATCTCCATGAGCAAACTGTTGCTAGTCCTTCTGTTTTTAAATCTGTAAAATTGCCAGTAAGTTATTTTTGACTAATGTACACTAAGTTTAAATGAAAAGAACATGATTTTAAATGTAAATATCTTTTTCGAGGTAAGGGAAGGGACATGTATAGCTATAATGTACTCCCTAAAATTGTGGTCATTATAATCAAGTGATTATGCTAATAATTAGCTAGAAAAAATTTAGTGTTTTTTAAAAAATTAATCTCTAATTGATACACAAAGACAAAATATTGTACATATTTATTAGTAGCATGTGATGTTTTGATACATGTGTACATTGTATAATGCTTCCATCAAGGCAAAGGTATCTATTCCCTCAAGCATTTATCATTTTTTATAGTAACAGCATTCACATCCAGATTTTTTGCAATACACAGTACATTGTTGTTGTCAGTAGTCATTCTGCCATATAGTATCACACTGATACTTCTTACTCCCATATAGCTAGTCTTTGCTTTCATGGAGTTGAAGAAGTAACATGTGTTAGTGTATTATAGTTGTAAGTGTAGTTAGATACTGTGATTGAAGATATATCTACTTCCATGTAGAAAAGACTCCCTATCATTCTAATTTGATCAGCAACCTTTGAGCGTTGTTATGCATCAGATATGGTGCTTAGCAATTACACCGTTTACCAGTTAGGGTCACTTAGACACAAACCTTCAGATACTCCATTGTAGGCAGCAGCAAACAAACAATTTCCATTAGAGACCAGACGAGATATTTAGGTCTTGCAGGTTATTTGATTCCTGTCAGACTACTCACCTTTGCCTTGTGCCTAAAGTGCAGCCATGAAAATAAATACATTAATAAATATGTAAAAGGGACCCCCACAAAAAAATCTGGGCAGCATATAAACAAATGTAGCTGTGCCCAAAAAGTTTTATTTATGGACTAAAATTTGAATTACATGCAGTTTTCACACAATAAAATACAGTGTTCTTTTGTGTCTTTGACCATACTTAGTTTGCAGGCCTTTGTAACAACAAGCCCTCAATTAGTAGGATAAATACAAGTGGTAAGGTGATATGGAAGGGAATGCGTTCTTGTAAGAGATTAAGAAAGTCTGTAACTTTTATCGATTTTGTCTTTGTTTGCTACACTAGTTTTTTTTAAGTCTAATCTATGAACCTAGCTAGTTATTGAGGAAAAGTGCAAATCAGGTGGCTTATTTCTGTTGTCAGTAAGCCATTTTATAGTTTCTGTCAATGGCAAACCCATGGCACCCATGCTGCAGTGGGCATCCAGAGCCCTCCCCGCGGGCATGTGAGCCAAGTCACCACAGCCAGGGTTTGACCAACTGTCAGCGTGCACACAGCAGCACCGGTCACGTTAAGTGCGGAAGAGTGCACCAAACACAAACATTGACCTTTCAATAAAAAGCTGTTTGTATTGTTGTAAGCTCTCTTATTGCGTTTTTCTTTTAAGACAAAAGATGTTCATGTATGAGTTGTGTTTTCTAAATGAAAACCTCAGAATTCAGGTTTAATTGCATTGTTGGTACTTTGTGATAAATAAGTGGGTTTGGGATGGCAGTTGGGCACTTGGGCACTTAAAAAGTTCACCACTGCTGATTTGTATTGAATCTTTTCATTAATCTGATCTCCATGATTTTTAATTGAATCATGTTAAAATTTAGTTACCTTTTAGTCTTAATAGAAACTCAAACTGAAATGACTGTGATTTAAGCCTTACAGCTACAGTGGTTCAGCGCCTTGGATTTTAGGGCTGATTTTGTCTAGGTTGTATTTCTAATTAAGATGTGGATAAAGCTTTTGATTCTGATCACTGAAAGGCAGCATTGGTTGGCATTCATGATTATTTTGAGAATGAACTGTTTTATGAGCTGTTGCAGCTGCTTCTGTAGTTTGCAATTTATCTTAAGTTCTTAGTGAAAGATCTTTGATAAAAGAAATTTTTATTTTTACAGGGGTCTGGTATTTCTATACCTTTATTTCGTCTGTGATTTTTTTTCCCTAGTATTACATAATTTTTAAAAAATCACACAAGATTTAGATGTTCTAGAAGAAATATGTCAAGCCAGTTGATTTAGTGTGGTTTTTTTATTTGAAGACATGTTTCAAACTATCTTTATAATTACAGTATACCCACTCACATTATTTTGGAAGGGGACATTAGCATTTTGATGAACTAGTTTGCTTTTATTAATAAGTTCACTGTCTTTTGTTAAGACTCCAGGAGAATTTAGATGGTCTATTGATCAACTAGCTGTAATAAATCCTGTAGAAATAGACCCAGAAGAGATTCATCGTCAGGCCTCATACTTAAGTCATTCTCGGTAAGTTTTCCTTTCTTGCATTTAAATGTAATAACACATTTTAAAGTGAAAAGATACAGGAAATTGTTAAGGTTCAATATATGTAAATGTAAAGATATTGAAGGATAAAAACTTCTGATGTGGATTTTCCTATTTCAATGAGTGAGTTCAAAGAACTGTACCCCAAAAGAGATCCTGACTAATAGTTCTAGTCTGGGTAGGAATCCTTTTAGAGATAACCTTCTTCCTCTGCTACTTACAAAATAGCTCTGTTCCCCCACTTGGTAAAGGGAAAGGCATTGTAAATTTGTACCTTTTCCTGTGACTTCTGACTTGGTTTTTTTTGATATAAAGTACAATTGTGTTTAGCATCTATATATCTTTATGGAAATCCCCTTAACAAGTTATCTGTTGAATGCAAGAGTATTCAGTAGCAACAGTGTAACAGAACTTTTTGGGCATCATCCAACTTCAACATAGTTCACTGGGAAATTGGAATCATGTTTTCTTGAATTGTACATAATACCTGAGTAGCCCTAAACTTTGTTGTGTGTTCTATAGGTTTCCAGGTTCCGTGATGACTAATGTAGTGAGAGTATGTACTTGTGTATGGGAACAGAGCTAGTTTTTGGTTACAGATTGTCAGGAAGTAGTTGGACACTTCAAAAACAACAAATACGTGACATGATCAGCTTTAAATTTTGTCTTAAGGTTTATGTGCTATGAGTCCAAAAATTGGGATCATTTCCCCTTTGACTTTTAAATTCATTCACACAGTGATTCACACATTGAGGCATTCTTGCAAATACTTGTCTGGCTTTTCCACTCTGTCCTTTCTTTGTTTGGTAACTTGCTGACCATTATTCACTCATAGTTACTGAAATGTCCATCTGAATTGCTGTAGGAAGGGAATTGAATGGAGATAAAGCATAAAAGGATTTTCAGTTAAATTTAAGTAATACCTTTGAAAGAGAAGGTGAAAAAAGATCTAAAATCAAATCATTCACCATTGATGAGTTCAGTAATATTTTGTCTCACACAAACTGTATTCCTTATTATTTCACCTTATCTCTTCAACATATTGAATCCTGGGTAACTGTTACATCAGTAAAGAGATACATATTGAGCACTGTGAGACACCATGAGAAACAACTGAAAAAGTATATTGGAATATTAGATTATAGGGGTTTTTTTTTTCTGTCTCTAAGAGGTAACAATACAATTAGATAACAGTTAACACATTTTCACATTTTTGTTGGGTTTACAAAGAGAATCTTGGTATAGTTCAGTAGATGGGTTTGTGATATAGGAGAAGCAGAAAGAATGGGAAAATAATGTAGTTAGTTAACGTAATTCAGTAAGTGATTA